ATTCGGACCATTAAATCGAATATGAACAATAATTAATCGAAGTTCTTTAATGTTAATAGCTATTTTCACTGAAAACAAAAAATATAACTATTTGTAAGAACCCTTGATAGGTGACGATAGGAAACGATGCATTAAGGGTGTTTAGAAGTCTGCAAACGGGTAGTTAATATACTTTCATTATAATTAGTATTTTATTTATTTCTTAATACGTTAAGAAGCGTCCTTTCAGCGTTTATTGAAATCGTAAACTGTCTAAATTTGTTATTAATATGGTAATATGAATTATGTATTAATATTTAAACTATGAATTACTGTATGTTCGAATACACCAATTTGTTGTGAACAAAATTAGACCTTCAAATTGGTTGTGCCGCTAATGAAGAACAGTACGCACAATATTATAAAACAAAACAATCACTTACTGAATATTTTGTAGAAACATGTATGTTTTCTCTATGGTGAATTAGCGGTAAATTTTATGGTTTATAATGTTAAAATTCTGAGTTCGATTCCTACAACGAGCACAACACAGATAGTGTATTGCGCAACTTTGCGATCTGACAAACTAACTTTATTATTGTTATTGTGATATTAGTTTGCGAACTGTTCAAATAACATAATTAGGTTCAATTTCATCTACCTAATTTTGTATTATAAACTAAAAAGTGAAACAGATATTTGCGTAATTTAATGCAACTCAGAAAATATAAACACTGTTAATAAGAAATGTGTATCATTACTATATTCAATATAAGGTAAATAGTTATGAAATACGATACGTTATGATACTGCAGTTGTCATGAGTTAAATGAAGGGACCGTTTTTATCCAAATAAGTAAAATGGCCCCCCAACCACTAGAAGTGCATTTTTTCCATATATATATATGTATATATATATATAAAGTCTATGTGTAATCTATGTTTTAATTAGAAATGACATTTATAATAAAAAGTGTTCATTAGAGAAAAAAATATTTTGAATTTCCATGACATTCATCTTAATTGATGAAAACCGCTATCAAAGTTGAGGTAACAGTCTAACTCCACTTCCTTTATCTATAAGGTGTTCCTGAAGCTTTACCATAAATCTATATCGATGTAAGAATAAGGTAAAACATATGTATACTACGTAAAATTATGAATTAACCTGGATATATTTTGCCAGTTCAGTAAGTATTATCATACGATATACTAAAAAATTCTTAATATTTCTTGATCTATTATGTTACTTCCATGAAATCCATTCCTTGCTATAGAGAATTTATTTTGTTTTTATTAATTTACGATGATATTCACACTGGTAGACTATAAGGAACTTATATTTTATTTTTGCCTAAATCTAACTAGATGAGTAACCTGTTTTAAAGATCTAAAGATGTGGTGAGGCCGAATGTGGCCTAATTGATAGCATGTCGGGCTGCGTATAAGAGGGTCCAGGGTTCGAGAAGTAATGCTGCTGAACACGTTCGCCCTTTCAGCTGTGGTTACATTGTGAAAGTGACAGTCAATCCTTTTATTCGGTTCAAATAGCTAGATAAAGAGACCTTGTGGTGTCAGATTCTGCTGGCTAGGTGCATTCCCTATGGTCAGTAATTCAAAATTATGACTTAACTATTTAGCGCTTGTGCGCATAAGGTGCCGTTCACCTTGAAATTTTCAATTTCAAAACTGGTGAAATACAAGCATAAATGAAACATTAAACATTTCAACACTTTGCTCTTAACAGTTTCATTACAGATTCATTTTAATAAAGTACAGCTATACTTTGACGGATCTTAAATTTGACTGTTTGTTGATGCCAAGAAGTTTTAAGCCCAACACCATAACTCATTATGACGACTGAGGTAAAATATCTAGTTTTTGTTTAAACATTTTTAACTAAGCCCAACTGAATGATAGTGGCCCTAGAAACATAAATCGTATTTGGCTGATTTTATTCACTAAAAACCTAAAAATAAAAAGACTGCTTAGTGATCTTTCACTAAACCGTAATAAATACCCGAGCGAGATCAGTCGTACTTGGCTGAGTTTATTTATCACTCACACACTTGATCTTGTATACAGACACAAAAAATATGTTAAATAAACCGCACAAAAGATGCAAAACAAAGTTTACGAAAGAAAAATAAAACACTAGACACAATTGTAATAAATTGTAGGAAAACTTTAATTTGATGCAACCTTTCGGGCCTAAACCTTTCTTAAGTTCAATAAGATGGGTTTAGGCCCAAAACGTTGTGTCAAGTTAAAGTTTTCCTAGATTATATTACTATTGTCTCTAGTGTTTTTTCCACTTTAAACTCGGCCTTAACCTTGTCCTAGGTGACATAATATACTTTACATTAAACCCTTGTGTCTTTGGTCTTTATACTTGTTTATAAACCCCGTATACCTAGCTACAGATCATACCTGAAGAAGACAGAACAAAATTATACTTCGTTGCTTGCCAATTTATTTTAAATGAGTGAATTTTTTTAGAGAACCATTGAAAAAGTAATGCTCATTGCATTATTGCAGAGCTTTAAAATAAAGAGCTCTACCGTTAGTTACTTTTGGATAGATTACACATTAATTTACTTCAAGTACATTAACTTTGTTAGATTTCGCGCACAGTTATACGTCCCTTATTTTGAAATGACAGACTAGAAGGAACATTAACCTAAACAGTTCTGTTTAATTACCATAGTTTAGCTCTACCGTTAGTTACTTTTGGATAGATTACACATTAATTTACCTCAAGTACATTAACTTTGTCTGTTAGATTTCGCGCACAGTTATACGTCCCTTATTTTGAAATGATAGACTAGAAGGAACAATAACCTAAACAGTTCTGTTTAATTATCATAGTTTAGTTACTAATAGCTTTGGCTTCACACTTTATATGACATACATTTTTAACGCGTTTCTATGATCAAAATATTTCTTAATGTTATTTGAAATAAGCAAAGTAATGTTTCAAATTAACCGAGATATTAAATACGCATTTATATAGCAAATATATAGTGTTTTATACTATTAATGAGCATAAATTGATAAAATAATACTTCAATGAAACATATTTTTTCTAATAGTGGTTTTTGCCATGCATAAACAACCTACAGAAAATAAATTTTTATCTTTGCATTTGTGTAACATAATTAAGTTTAAGGTGGAAATGCCGCAAAATAGATCCTGTTTGAGGATATTAAGAGAGATGGACGGAGTATGCGAGAGAACTGTATAATGAGAGTAGTGGAAAGGAGCTAGCCCTAGAAATGGTAGAAACACGCAATAACGGTCCAGCGATTCTCAAAAGTGAGATCCGGGAAGCCAATAGAATTATAAAAAAATGGAAAAATATACGGTATAGACGAGATTCCAATAGCAATTTAAAATAAAATGGATATTTTAGAAACTAAAATTGTTACTCCCTTTATAGAGCAGGAACATTACCAACATATTTTAAAAGAACTGTGTTTTGTGCCAATCTCGAAACTTAGGGCTATTGCGTGTATGGTAACTACAGAAAAACCAGCTTGATAGAACACTCTTAAAAAGTATTTCTAAAATTAGCCCTCAGCGGAAATTAAACATAAGGCTGGAGTGAGCTGTCACTAGACCCAAATCATTTTAGAAGGAGATAGGTATGAGAGAGAGGATCTTTAGCTTCAGGATGTTCAGTGAAAAAGTCGTAGAAATGCAAATAAATCTTTATGTATACTTGATGGACTTTAACTTTGAAAAGGTTAACCAATCAAAAGAGATATCCTGTAGCAGACTGTGGTAAATCAAGCAGAATCGGAATCTGAAGAATTTATACTGGAAATAGAAAGCAGAAGTTCGAATTTACAGATAAATAAGCAGTTTTTCAGTTAAAAGAGGCGGACGACAAGGATTTGTACTGTCTCATTATATAATTTGTGTGCATAGAAGTTGACGAGAAAGATTAACGGAAACAATCTGCAGTAATAGTGTGTTAGTGGTACATAACTTATGAGCAAACCAAAGCTAGAGATACAAAGTTATTTGACAATATTGTTGAGTGGGAGAAACCATGGACTTAGAATAAATGTCATTCAAGCTGTGAGGAAGATCTAAGAATATACATCAAAGTAGAAGGTAAAGCATTGGGACAAATAGATGAGTTTGCTTACTCCGGGACGAATATCAGTAGCAATAACAAATGTGAAAAGATAAAGCGAACTATAGGAATGGCAAAAACAGCATTACTTCATCTGACATATGGTCAGTTCTGTGAGTGGAAAGTGGACTGTATCTGGTGAAACAAAAATACTTTTGGAAGAATTTAAAACAGGGTGTCAAAACGAATGATGGAGATAAGCTACATAGAAACCAAAATTGATGAGAAAATATTAGAATGTGCAAAGACAAAAAAAAAAAAAAAAAATCTGCTGAACATATGTAGGAAACGGAAGATGCGCTAATTTGGAGATATAAGTATGTCTTAGGGAAAAATGGCAGAAATTCTGAAGGGTAATACTGAAGGAGAAGAGCAAGAAGCAGGCAAACAATCGTATGACTCGATGATATTAGAAAATGGTTTAGAGGTGAGAAACCTGAATTAGGAAAGTTGGTGCAGACAACGAAGAATAGAGAGCAATGGCGAATTATAGTCATCATTCCTCATATTGGTGAAGACGCCATGACTGATTGATAGTAATAGATGAGAGCATTGTATATACTTATTTGGGTATCTGCTACACGTATTATGTTAAGTTGACTACTACTGAGTTTAACTGAAGGATAATAGTATCAATTTATCTTACTTGATCAAAGCATAATTTAGCAATTGTTTGTAACGATAATGCATACAATATTAAAAGGTAGTATCATATACGTAGGACTTAGCTCGCAGAATAGACAATATATTTCTAATTTTCCAGTATGTTTAATTTGTTAACTGCCATTTAATTGTTTTCAGTCTCCAAGAATCTTGTCAAACAAATGCCCCCGGGTTGACCCTTTTGTATAATGCGAAGAGTTTTTAAGCAATACCTTACCTGTTACAGATCCTGAAGATGGAGTCTTTTCCGTTTGAGTGTACATAAAAGAGCTTGCTGTTTCTTCTCGGTTTGGGTACGAGTTAATATCACTATTTTCAAAGGATAAAAATGACGTCGAAGGAAAATCGTGAACTTCACCAACCTTAATTTCTCCAGAGGGTGCATAATATGATCCCAATGTTGTTAAGTTGGCCGCCATTTGTGTTCTATGATAAGTGATTGTGTTAGCAGTGGGTGAAAAGTATGAAACGGAGTCTCCTGAGTTACAGAGTGCATGATGTTTCCGTGGTTGAGACCGCGGTGCTCTTTCATGTTGGACCGCTATAAAAAAAAAAAGAAGAAAAAGTTTCTTATTTAATTTAAAAAATAAATTAGTAAAATGTTTCACGTGCCATTTTCCTTTTATACTTGTGAGGTCCTGTGAAAAAGGTGACTCATAAACATTTGTTAATAAAGCTTTCTATGTTTATAAAGTTTTCATAAGAGCACGACTACCCTTATGTAATTTTACTGCACTGTGTCCTTCCGGATTTGAGAGAGTAAGCTGCAATTTTTGATGACTTAACACTGTTCTTAAGCTCTGACTGTTTGTTCATGGTATTACTGTAATGAGTTACAGATAATTTTGGGAATTTTTCCAATATTAGATAAACGTTTCACATACTTCAGTTATCATATGGCTTAAAATATACAAAATTAGCTTATATATTTGTAGCAAAGGCTGAGCACATTTTTTATGACTCTTAACTAATAACTCATCAGCATGAAATACCTCTTATTTATTTGCTATTCTTGACTTTCAATTAAATTATTAAACTGCAAACAGTAATTCATACGGTAATTTAAAAATGATTGCTATAAATTTCTCATTTTGTTGTTTACAAAATTTAGCTCTCTAATTTACGTTTACGTATTATACAGTATGTGATGACAGATAGTCATCCTGATATATTCCTTTTTCTTGCGTTTCATGTCATAAATGCTGTATTTTTTATTTCAAATCCTGCTGTAAAATTTTTAATTTTTATGAATTAAAATATTTTTTAACTTTTACCAGAAAAATTAAGAAAACTGTCATTCACCAAGGAAGTTTCTCAATGGAAGTATCACTAATAGTCTATACTTTGTAAAATACTTCTATGACTTCAAGGTTAAGAATACTATACTAATATTAGTTTGTTTGTTTGTTTTGAATTTCGCGCAAAGCTACACGAGGGCTATCTGCGCTAGCCGTCCCTAATTTAGCAGTGTAAGACTAGAGAGAAGGCAGCTAGTCATCACCACTCATCGCCAACTCTTGGGCTACTCTTCTACCAACGAATAGTGGGATTGACCGTCACATTATAACGCCCCCACGGCTGAAAGGGCGAGCATGTTTGGTGTAGCGGGGATTCGAACCCGCGACCCACAGATTGCGAGTCGAGCGCCTTAACCACCTGGCCATGCCGGGCCTATTAAAATTAGAGTTGCTTTATATACATTATTTTAAATACAACGTGAGGATACATCTTGTTACGCCACCCCAGTGGCACAGCGGTAAGTCTGCGGATTTACAACAGTAGAAACCGGGTTTCGATACCCGTGGTGGGCAGAGCACAGATAGCCCATTGTGTAGCTTTGTGCATAACTACAAATAAACAAACAAACATCTTGTTACTTTCATCCCCCGGTAGGACAGCGGTACGTCGTCGGATTTATAATGGTAAAATCAGGGGTCCGATTCCCCCTCGGTGGACACAGCAGATAGCCCGATATAGCCATGTCGAACATCAAAATGATTTCACAGTTCTAGTTGTTATGAATGCCGTTGTGTCTATAAAAAGAAGCACACAGTAATAATGTATTTTGCTACGAAGTTTTACCAGTTTTGGATAATTTCATCCCTCATCAGTAACCCTGTACAAGGGCAAACCGAAATATTTTTTTTGTTTTTTAATGTCATTTCATTCCAGCCCAGGGGAGGAGGGTGGTCGGCCATCAGAGGGTTACACTTTCTCAACGATTAAGAGATGTACGAACGTACGGAGCTAGAAGATTATAAACGCAAATGACGTGACTGCGAACGAAGTGAAAAATATCAGAAATGTGAGTATGGCATCAGTAAGGAGCAGGAACCAGAAGAAGCATATCATGTGGATGAGCGATGGCAGTAGTCAGAACACCAATCCATCAATCCTCTGGATAAATTTAATCTGGTAAATTTAGTTGTGGCATTGTGATTGGGATCATCTAGTGGAGTGACACGGCATAGAAGTTCAATAAATGAATAACAGGGGGTAAGATTTGCGAGGGGGGTTCTCACTGGCATGAAACGCAGATCAGCAAATAAGACATTTTGATTCAGAAAACAGTGGCGAATATACTGGGTCCGAAAGTTGCGAAGATGGAAAAGAGATCCGATTATAGAAATGCAGTGTATGACTGGGTAGTTTCACACGAAAGATGACTAGCGGATATGACAAAAGTTGGAATAAGCAGAAATTTAAGCAGTACGACCATAGGTAAGACACAGGCAAATGAAGGGGTGTATTCAAATTCTACATAGTTCTTGATAACTGACGGAGGAGATGGAAATGGAAGGTGATTTTCTGGTTGATAGCTGTCACCTGAGCTTTACAGGTAAGATGTTTGTCAAAACAAATACCCAGGTATTTTATAGTATCAGAAAGCTGCATTTGAACATCATCAACTCATACATCCAAGAGGAGCAGATTGTGACAAGGACGAAATTTATGCTGAACTAGACCAAAAAGTATAAATATGGTTTCAGTAGCACTGATAGAAAAACGCAAGCAACAGCTTCAAGCAAAAACAAAGTTAACAGCAGAATGCAGAGCTGTATTGAAAATGATTATTGTTGGTCAGATGTCAACAAGAGCTGTATCATTAGCATATTGGAAAAGATGAATAGGAACTCTAGGGCATGGAACATATATGTCAGAAAGACATAAAATACAAAGGAGAGAAGACAATACTGATCCTGAGGTGCTCCAGAATATATAGTAAGAAGGAACGGGAGAGAGCACCTTCGATGGAAACAGTAGCACTGTGACCAGTGAGAAAAAAGTTGACGAAACTGATTTACATAAGAAGGAGTAAAAACGGCGAAGTTTGAATACTAAATACACCAGGACAAGCTTAATGGTCTAAAAACGGTGAAGTTTGAATAATAAATACACCAGGACACACTCAATGGTCTTTCTTAAAACACCAGTGAGACTTATAGAACGATAAGATTCGACCTGGACAGGATACAGATCATCATCATCATTTGGTGTTATTTCATTCCAGCCCTATAGGGGACTGGCGGCCATTAGAGAGTTACGCCTTCTCGTCGGACAAACGAAGAAAAAGAGAGAAAAAAAGAGGAAGAATAAAATATGCAAGATATGGATAAAAAGGGTGAGGGAAGGTATTGAGAGCACTAGTGAGAAAAGGGGAAAGAAGAGAAAGACGAAATTGAAAGTATAGTGAGAACGAGAGATATAAAGTGTAACAATAGAAAGACTAGTAGTTAAAACAAATGTGAATAATAAGACGAGAACTATAGAGTTTTAAACATGGTGACGAGTCATGCTAGAAAGTTCAAACTGTTAAGTCCACTGGCTTCAGATCACTGGACAAATAGAAGGTGGTAGATAAGACATAGGAACTTCAACATGATTGGGATAGGATACAGACTAAGACTACGCTTCATATAGTGGTGAAGTGTATATTGTTACGTCTGTGTTCGTTTGTTAATTTTTCGTAGAAATTCTTTCCGAGAACCTTCAGCGATACAAGACTTTTCTTAAATAAAACTAGTTTATTCTTTCTCAATTCAACTTTAACTTAAACACACGCTATAATTCACTACGAATGATTCACGCACTTTATTTACCACTGCACTTGACTCAATTGTCCATCTCTATCTCTGCCTGTCTGCAATTATCTATACCGTCACTTCTTGCTGGTATTATATATACAAGAATAGAGGGCGCGTAGAGAAATCTAGAGTTGCCAGGAACAGACATGATCTTTCTAGAATCTCATGACGTGTTACCAGCGTCACGTGATTTCTACTGTCGTAACACTG